TGTACGATGAGGACCTAAAAAAATTTCAGCTCAAATCTATCAACGCTTCTGAAGCCCAGTTTTTCAGCGTTAGCTAATCTTTATTTAGTTAATTTTTATTATAGTAAAACTTTCTCGTCAAAAAAGCTCTAACATCCACACCACATCACATGCGCAAGAACAACATCATGCACGAATTGCATATGCTAATATTTGTTTTGTTTAAATTTCGGACAGGCAGTATTTGAACTAGGTTATGACGCAATAACAGCGCAACTGAGCTAATCCATCGATCAGATTGATACTAATATTTAAACTTATTAGTAACATAACATAACATAACATAATAGTAGTAATGGTTATAACGGCGAAAAATACAGGCAGTGTTGTGTTAATAATTGCAGGAGCAGTACCAGCAGTAGTTGTGGTAGTGTTTGTAGTTAATAGTTAAATAACAGTTCAGCAGCAACTCATAAATTAAATAAAAAGCAAATTTAACGCGACTAGGATTTGACCAAGGTTTACCTCTACCCTCTGATAAAAAATAAAGAAACAGAGGAAAAGTTGGCTAAGGATTTGCTGGACCTGAGGAACAAGGCGTCCATCGCCTACCTCCTCATCAACGCCATCTTCGTCATTGTCGTTATTTCCCTTCAAATGAACCTGGACAAGGTCAGTATGATTACCGCACTTTTAAAAATTATTTTTATTTATAATTTTATTTTTTAGTTTGGTCAATTTTTTTTGTGATTATAAACAAATTATTTAAGATTCTCATGAGTAATTCAATGAATTAGACTCTACGAAAATATCTTTCGTAACTATGAATAAACTCAAATTTCATTGATAACAATAATAGTTTGTATTCTAGTTTTATTATTTTTATTGCTCTAGCAAACAAATTTGTTCTTTCAGTAAGGTTGAAACTTTCACTTGTCGAATTCATCACAAAATTTGCAATTACATTTTCATTTATTATTTATTCGACGTTGAGTTTACCATCCTATAGAATTTTTAAATTTTTATAAACATTGCTGATCATCATTAATTGTATGAAATACAACTGAAATGAAGTACAACTGCCAGAGCTGGCTTTTTCGTTTCTGTTACACATGCGTTTGAAAGTATTTTGAACTTAGGCACTTATATTTATGTGAAATCTATGTAATGAGTAATGGTACGATCGGCGTTCATCACAGATTTATATCCCGTGGTTCTGGGGTGATAATATAAACGTGGATCCGCTGGGCTTCACTTTCATGCTCGTCTATGGATTGGTAATGATTATTCAAGTCATCGGTTTGTTGTTAAAATTATAATTCATTCCATTTTTCAAAATCCGGTTAAATTTCCATTCATCTATCACTTGCGTTACATTCATTTGTCGCTTTCCTGCACTTTATTGACGCTCTCCTAACTACAGCATAAATGTTCGAAAATCATTCAAATTGTATCAAGAGTATACGTACCTGCAATTTCTTCACACAACATACACAAGCTTCGCTGGGTAACCGTTTTTCTCTACAAACTACAAAACCGAAGTGTAAATAAAGTGATAAAAAAATGTTCGATATTCATTCTTGTTTAAATTTTTTTTTCTTTATTTACAACCTTTTTTCTATCATCTGTTTACTGTGTTTTTGTATATAAACACGCAAACACTAAAATGCTTGACACATTAAAAAAAAACACTGATCCGCGCCGTCAAAGTAGATAAATATTAGTTCCAATATTATATCCCGTTTTTATGCTGTTGTTACGTTAACTGAACCTCTGACCTAAGGTATGATTATCCATCGAACGAGCACATTTTTACACGTCATGGCTACCACTTCAATCAACTCATTCCTCTGCTGTAAAAAAAGAAAAAGTAATTTTGTTTTGTTTAATCAATATGTTGTCATTCTGTGTGCGATATTATCTGATCTATCTTCATAGTTTATTGATAGGTCTTTTGCAGGGCTTGATTTGATTCGTTTTCATGTTTGCAATGATGTCTCAATTGAAGTTATTACGATATCGTTTTGATTTACAACATATCAAGTTAACTTAACGTTACTTTTAGTTTAATTTAAACTAACATCGGCACACCCCAAAATAATCATCATAATAGATACCAGCTCAGAGATCGTTCAAAACTACATGGTGATATCGAGGAAACTCATAAGATTGAATGCAGCTCTTGATGATCCGACCATCAGGTGGCTGAACTACATTGCATTACAATTACATCACATTGCATTCTATTACAATTACATCACATTACATTTTTATCGTGTTACATAACAATTGCATTGCATTACTAAAATGTTATGTACAGAAACGATTTCCAATACATACAATACCTGAATATCAAGTTAATGGATTCATTACACGTGAATATGATGCAGAACTCTTTCGGCTTTCTTATAACGCAATATAACACATTTCTTAAATAAGTTATAATAGTTAAAGTGCGGTTGACTGAACATACAGATCGAGAATCTCAACACTAGTTGGAACCATCAAGAGTGACGTGAACGATGATGCTGTCAACATGAAGGACAGACAAGCATTGAGAAAGAAAGCGACTCCGAAAATCAAAAAACGACCTGCCCTCCCCCTCAATGAAGTATGTATCTGACCTAACGGTGGTCTCCGAACGTTACAAACAATAAATGCTGACAACATCGCGCTGAAATATAAGAATTAAGAACGTTTTAATAAGGAATTTTAAATGTTGATACACTAATGTCATATTGAAAAAGATTAAAGTTAGATCAATGATTACTTTTAATGTTGAAAGCTCGAATGCGCCTTTTATTTTATGTTTGTTATAAAAATTATCATTAAATTATTTATTTAGCATTTCAAGAAGCAGTTCGACAGACTGAACACGGATCTGAGTAGCGGCAAGGATGTTACGAAGATCCAGTCAAAACTCTGGACTTCTGACGATAATTATTTCACCAGATCCCAAACTTTGGAGGCACTAAAAGTAATAAAAGAGAACTCAAACAAAACTGCCGATTATTTTTAAGTTTCCGTCCATCAATAAAACATTGCTACATATGTATAAATATATATATACCAACACACATTTTTTGCTCCAAATTTTTTAAGACAATTTTTTGAATGAATGAAATTAAATAACTTTTAAATTTGAAAGTTTTTTAGTCAACGATAAAAATGCATCCTACAGAACTCACGTGATTAAAATGCGTCCAATCATTAAATGTAATCAATCTTTTTATTAGTGGTTACAATTTTGTAAAACGTGGCCATCTCGAATGTTTGTTATGGGCTGGGCTACATGGCGTAACAAAGTTCACGAAAGTTATAAAAAGATCATTCGTATCGCTGGGAGAACTAAAGAAAGTAGATAATAAAAATATTCTAACAGTGACAAGATGGAGATGAGAAAATTAGCAAGATGACGCAAAAAATGTGACGACGATAACGATGGAACATCGGTTTAAATGCCAATGCAAAACATTCAACATTTGCTGGAAAACTATAAACAACTATTCGTCCATCAAACTCACCATAGATCAATCCATTCGACCATCCATCCATATGACAACCCACCATTTAACATATCCAAGCAACATTCACTTATTTATTCGTTCAATCATTCATTCATTTATTCTTTCATTCAATCATTCATTCATTAATTAATAATCTGTTTATAATGTACAGTCAACTTAGCTCACCGAAAACCAAACAGGCACTATACATGATAAGAAAGTTAAAAGAGCCATTAATATAAACCTTAATCATTAAAACGTAAGTAAATTAAAATCATATATATATATATATATATATATATATATATATATATATATATATATATATAATTCTTCCTTCATTGATTTTAATACTTCGAAATTATTCACAGTTTAAAATTTGGCTTTGATAAGGACTACTTAGCTGAAACAGCGTTGTCAGACGACAAACTTATGGAAACTTTAAACTAACACGAGTACAAAAACTACGCAGTGTTGAGATTCTTATAAAAAAAAGCTAACGCAGATTGGGTATATAAGTTCAATGAAACAATCGTATATATATATATATATATATATATATATATATATATATATATATATATATATATATATATATATATGTATATATATATATATATAAATATATATAAATGAAACAATCGTATATATATATATATTTATATCATGACCTTGAAATATACAAATATATACAATTACGCGCATAAACATATATATTACATGAATACACTGAAATGAAATTTTTTGGTAACAAGGAACGGACCAGCCAGCCAGCCAGTCAACATACTTATTACAAGTTGAAGGTCTGTTAGGTTCAGAGAAATCAGCAACACACAAACTGCGTACATGAATACGTGCTAAGCGACGGTCAAACACGAAGCATGTGATAGGCGGGGATCTTTTTGCCATATTCGAACTTGGAAAACAGCACCAGGACACCTTAAGCCAATAGGCCATCACGCTGCCCGATAAACAAGTAGTACATATTTGTATAGAATTAATTTCTAGTACATGCGTTTACAGAATTTTTAATACATGCTTGTGCGAGATTTCGTACTCGTACATGTAAACATGTGTATGAGTTTTTGTACAAGTAAACGTGTATCGTATTTGTTGCGTTCAAGTACAATAAACAAAAATAAAAAAAATGAAAGTCTATATTTACAACGCTAACCAATCAAATAATCAAAACTAATTAAATGGTCCGACGAAAAAGAAATTACATATTAAAAAAATATTAAAAATATTTTAGTATTTCAACAGTAACTATGTACACACACACACACACAAATATATATATATATATATATATATATATATATATATATATATATATATATATATATATATATATATATATATTATACGTTATATATATTATTTTTTTATATATAAATGTATGTGTGTGTATACATTCCATTCCATTATGAATAATTAAATGTATACGTTAATTATTCATTTATTGTTCAGAGTGCATGTGTGTGTGTGTGTGTGTGTGTGCGTGTGAAGTGTGTGATGGATAGAAATTAATTTATGAGCCAATGACGAATGAGGTGTGCATTCAAAGGAAGAATGAATGAAATACAAGCTTGGATGCATTGTTGGATGAAAGGTTTTACATGAATGCATTCTTCCTGTCGAATCCCAGCTGCTCGTTTATGCTATCCCTGAGGGTAATTAATAACGTTTAATACATTTCTAACAACTATTTATATATATTATGAAGAATTTAATTATGAAGAATTTAAATATTATAAATTATGTGAAAATTTAAAAATAATGTAAAAATTCTCTGATCTCATTGTGCACTGCATAAGCTACCTACATTTTTTGTTTGTTTTTTTCAACCCTTTAATCAATTTACATATTTACTTATACCTTGAGAATTTTAAAATCTGGCAAAATATGGTATTTAAAATGAGCAGACACAAACAGACAGACAGACAGATAAATAAAAAAGACATGACATGTTTATTAAGTTACGGCCGCAGTCCGAGTTAATTTTTTCCATAAAGATTAAAAGTTTAATAGTTCATTTTCTAAAAATATAAATACAACCGTACAATACAAATTCCTAAGCAGTGCGAAGTAAAAATGGTTTAAGTTATCAGTAGGTTAATTAATCGATTATTTAATTGATTAACTAATTGATTAACTAATTGATTAATTGATTGATTAATTGATTGAATGAATGATATACTAACTTGATTGCATTTACCCATTCAGCCTTTTCCTCTCCAGTTGAAGCTGACATACGGTAAACATTGTGCTTGCCTGTACAATGTCGTTTTTATATTTTTAATGTCATTGTTAATTGTTAACAAATGTCAGTCACAAACCACGCACACACACACACACACACACACACACACACACACACACACACACACACAGACACACATATATATATATATATATATATATATATATATATATACATACATATATATATACATATATATACACATACACACACACTAACAGTGAGTCAAAACCAGCCAAACGCAAAAACATACATACACACAACAGCAACTGAACCTTCAATAACTTTTCCTTCAGCATCAGTCTTGCACGCCTTGATGACGTCATTACTGGTTGAGTACAACTCGAAACAGTGGGTCTTGCCCTTGTCCATCACGTCTCGAACTTGTACCCTCTCAAGAGGAATGATACCTTTTGGTTCTTTGTCCTTTTAATGAAAATCGTTAAAACGTTCGTATTGAACTAACTTCCACAAAAGTTATAAAACTAGGACAATTAGTACTAATACAATAGCTACTACACCCATCGCCACAGCTAAAACTACTACCGCTATCATGATCATTACTAACATTACACCAACTAACTGCCACACTACTGTTACTGATGCTGCTTCTACTACTGCTACTACCACTACTACTACTACTACTGCTACTACCACTACTACTACTACTACTACTGCTACTGCTACTGCTACTACTACTACTGCTACTACTGCTACTACCACTACTACTACTACTACTACTACTACTACTACTACTACTACTACTACTACTACTACTACTACTACTACTACTACTACTACTACTACTACTATTACTACTAACTAACAGTAGTGTATTGGAAGTAGTAGAGGCAGTTGTCATTCAATATGAACCAGCGTCTTTTCCATGACTTGTACCTTCCACCTGGTGAATGGAAATCGAAATTGAACTAATTTGATTATTAATTAATTTAATTAATTAATAAGTTAATAAGTTATTTATTTATAAAAATGAATTGAATGAAATTAAAACAAATAAAATAAATAATGAAAATGTATGAATACAAAATAAACTTAAATTCTACAGAGTAAATGTGCAAACATCCCGAACGTATGGTAAAAAGAATGTTAGAGTTAAAAAAACGTAAATGTGTAACTACAACAACAACGAACAACGACAACAACAACAACAACGACGACAACAACAACAACGACGACAACAACAACAGCAGCAGCAACGACAACAACAATAATATGTGATATAATATAAGGAAATGACGATTTAAATGATGATGTGGTGCAGATGTCAACGCTGACAACAATAAGTGATAATAAGGAAAAAGATAACAATCTCAGAGTAAAATCCTAACAATTATGATTAAACCAATGGAAAAATTAAAACACTGACGACTAGGAACACTTGGGTGGAAGATGTTTATGGATTAGAGAATTTAAAACTAATTTTTACAATGATGATGAACAAAGTAGAGATGATGATTGATGATTGTAATTAGTGAGAATGATGATGATGATAAATCTTTGACAACAGTCATAATAATAACAGTGATAGCGAGGACGACGATGATGATACTATTTAAAAAAAGGTTGAAGATTGTGGTGATGTGGTGATGGTAAGAGCCTCAGACGACGAAAATTGATGAAAAAAACCGATGTGATCGGCGGTAAGTGTCCAACTCTTTAAACTAAATCCAACAAAATAAAACCCAAACTGCATACAGTATTTGCAAGCAAAATAGTGAAAACGACGACAATAATGACATCAATCAATGGCAGAAACACAGACCGCCATTATCCTCATTACCATTCCCTCCTACATAGCATCGGTAGCAGCCGAACCAACAAGCAAACATATTTCATGCTGTACCTAGCAAGCTAGCATAGCAAAGTGCAGACGGCAAACTCAAAAATAAAGCATTCGCATATATATATCTTATATATATATATATATATATATATATATATATATATATATATATATATATATATATATATATAAATTAGCAATGGTGATAAAAAACGGCACTGATAACGGGGTCGACAGCAGAAATGATGATAAAAATAAAAATAATAACTGTCATAGCATTAGCCGCCAGCTGATAAGAATAATGATAAATTGGAAAAAAGTTCTATAAGGGCAATGATGACACAAGCTGGCAACAACAATACTACAAATAAAATGACCCAAATCAGCTGGTGATAATAATTGCAAGAATACCACCATCAGATATGAGATGAGCATGACCAACGGATGAATTTTAAATAACTAATGAGATGTGGTGGGGCGTGGATGGTGAGCATTCTAGTGAACATGCAGGTGATAACTGCGACGATGACGACGATGATGAAGATGACGATGACAACCAACTACATGAACAGGCTTTTAAATAATGACATCAGTGACGATGACAACCAGCACATATATGTGGTGATAAAATGTGAGAACAAAAAAATTAATCATATGCAAGGATTAAATGAAAAAAACGAACAAAGTTAAATAACGTACATGTTAAAAGTAAAATCCTGATTATATTATTATTAGCCACACAGACTGCTGTAAAACAATTAACTGATATTTCAGTGATGACCTTTCAATTCTAAGCCATTTCATTCTATGATAACATCACCATCGTCATTATTAGTATTATTACTACCGCTCTATACATTTGTAGTAAAAAAAAATACTATTGACACTATCCAAAAAATTAGTAACAAACAACTACTACACAACTACAATTAGTGAACCAACAATTAACACCCAGCATTTGTGTAAGGCAATTAACGGAAAACGTGTGAAATCACTAAGAAGAGTGAACCCTCAACATTTAACTAATTTCATTTGAAACTAATTACACACACAGCACGTGCACACACACAGACACACACACACATCTACTCATGCACATGCATGCGTGCATGCTGGCTGGCTTTGATAACCAACAAAAGAATAAACAAACAGACAAACAAATAAATAAATAAAATAAAATAAACTTAATTATAATAGTGCAAACAATGCAAACCACAAAAACACCAGGCATTAGTTACCAAGCAATATCACATTCATGCATGGACTCACTGAGTTTTGAAGCTCCTATCAACGAACCGACAAATGGATGAACAGAAAAAAAGAGATTTTAAATAAATAATACAATAAAAATTAATAACATATTTGTAAATGCCTTGGATGTATTGATATTGTTTTAAATAGATAAAAAAAACTCAAGCTGAGAGAAAAATGAACACCTATGGCATCACTGATGTTTAACTTTAACTGAAATATCATTTAGAAAAAATTGGAATATAAGAGGAGATGACACTGATAAAGACAAAGAGTAATGTATAAGTGAATGAGTAAGCAGGAATGAAATAAGAAGAAAAAATTAAGAAATCAAACACGCTGAGAGGTTGAGATGGGGAGGGATGGAAGATTAACATCATCATCCTCATCAGCAGCAGCAAAATGGTAAAAACGCAGTTATACTGACGTCATTTATGAAACATCACCCTTATGTAAACGTCCCCGATGGCCAAATTACTCCCTTTTAAATATAAGCGTTATGCATTCATTCATGTCTGCATTAATTTTGAAGTATAGTTTGACACCCCAAACCTACTCAATGAAATGAATAATTAGCTGCAATATTTGATTATAACTCAAATATCCATCCATCCAGATCATAATACTTAAGCCTGAAATCATCATTTATATGGAAATAGTTTTAGTAGTTAGAGAATTAGAATTAAGTAGAACCTTGGCGACAAAAAAATCTCATGGTCACACACTATGCAGTCCTATGTAATTATAATTATATATTATTATTATTATATGTATACCTATATATATATATTATCTAATTATTATCACATTACAGTTGGCTTAGCACGTGGTTGATGAATGGCGTTGAGGATGTAACTAACTAGATAATCTGTAACTCTTAACGTGAAGTAACCTTTTATTAATTTAATATTATTAATTTATTTATTTTTATTATAGTTATTATTATTATCATTACCACAAATCGCCATCATCACGATTATTATTATGGTCACAGAAGAGCAATTAATATTATGTTTAATGCGATTGGCGTTACTAAATTATCCGGAAATATATTACTAATATTTTTTTTTCACACACGCACACAAACACGCACACGCACACACACGCACGAACTATATGATATGCAAGTATTTAATTACATACCTCTTAGGGTAATAATATTATTATAATTTTTTTATTACCATTAATCTTGAACCAGCTGAATAACTCCCTAACTGAATAGGTGAATAAACTCAAATGCCATCTATAATGTCAAGATTCATTGACCTCTGATGGCAGTACCATTATAACCATCATCATATAACCATCATCATATAACCACTGATAGATCGTTACCCCCTAACTTTTCATTATCCTAAGCATAATAACTGGCGTCATCAACATTTCGGCCATCATCACCAACGTGAACTGCACTCATGGTAGTCGTCATACGCTGTTGTTATCATTAGGACTATTATTATCATTAACGCCATCATCAACATCATCACTATCGTATTCAATATCACATCTACCACCATCATCTTCAACGTCGTCATCGTCACCTTGTTTCCAGAGCCAGCCTTCTTTAACAGGGTTGAAGAAAGTGTGCATAAGGTCGTTGCCATCGTCTTCCGGGATTTTGAAGGGCTCTTTTTTGATGCTATCGTACAAATTCTGTTTGGAGAAAATGATGACAATATGGTGAAGATTTTGACGATAGCGTTTCTAAAATCATGTACACCATCACATACATCAGCTTCATTATCTTCACTCACTGCGAGAAGTTCTTGAGGTAAATCTTTGCCATTGTCAATGCCCCTGTTCATGGTGATGAACCGATCAACCGTCATCTTCTCCTTGACACTGGGGTTGTGCAGACTCGTGTTCAGCATGATGATGGAGAACGACAGGACGAAGCAGGTGTCTATGTGAGTATTTTATAAAATTATAAGAAGGTCTCTAAACACACACACACACCTCAATTACTGACAGTGACATGCATAGCATACGTAGATATAAACATACATTTACATGCACACACACACACACAGATGTATAAACAAACATGCAAGCATGCATGCATATGTGAATGTACCTGTACAGCTGAAGACTTGTGGATTGAGTTCGCAGTACCTCTGGGCAAAACATTCCATCATTCTGTCTATTTTCTGTGCCTCTCCAGGAAGTCTAAAACTCCATAGGAATTGTCTGCGGATGCGTTTGAATGTTAGTGCAGGCATGTGTGTGTGTGTGTGTGTGTGTGTGTGTGTGTGTGTGTGTGTGTGTGTGTGGGTGTGTGTGTGTGTGCATGTTAATTATTTATTTATTTAATGTCCTAACTATCATCGCTAACGCCATCACAACCATCATCATCATCATCATCATTCTTATCATCATCATCTTCCTCATCATCATCATCCTCATCAACAAAATCAGTGAATTATAAGAAATCGCAAAGATATTGGAAGCAAACCTCAATGCCTGCACAAGTATCGTGTCAGAAAATTCATGCAGGTTGACAAAGGACTTCAGTACATCGATGTTGAAGTCGTTCCTGGTCGAATGTGTTCTCATATTAAACTATAACTCAAAACCAATGTTCATGACATCATGGCAGATTGATAAAACTAACAATAATTTCGTATAATTACAAATTTACAAAGTAAAACTATTTAATTATTTAAAAATTTCTTGAAAAATGCATTGAACAATTTATGAAAAAAAAAAGATTAAAAAAACACACAATAACAAAAATCTAACTTCTCCCCGAGATAATCCCCGATGGCGGTCTTGTTGAGTCCCTCACCTTTGAAGAGAAACTGTGCCACATCATCAGCTGTGTTCTGCAGTAGCTCGTGTTCAATCAAGTATTCTATACCCTGTAAATCGTTCAACATAACGTACGCTACACACAGTCAGTACACATACAGCTTGATCAACTTACATCCATCATATGTTTGCAATATCTTAAATGATATCACTACGTAAGAAAATTAAATCATTAGAATAATTATTTAGAAAGAAGGTAGTACTTTTTTGGGGTCCATGTTGAATTTCTTGCGACCAGTCGATAAATGTTTCTTTCTTGGGTTACTCCTATAAATTTTTCGTGCAATGTAGGGTGAAAAAAATCCTCTACAGAACATAGCACATACTATATGTCATACATGGTCTATGTTACATGTCACATTAAGATTAGACATGCAACACGTTATATAACACGAACCAAGATATAAACATCACATCACTTCTTACTCTAAATGAGGAAACAAGCAAAATCAGCTCCATGGTTTCAAATAATTTGAAAAATGATTTTTTGGAGTTTGAAAAAAATGTATGTAGAAGAAGCCACCAATTATTTCAATATTTCAATACTAAAAGATCTGCATATTATGCTGGATTCAAATAAAAATTTAAAACTTTCAACTAGATAAAAAAAATGAAAATGGTCTTTGCCAAAGCAACTGATCTTAGGCGAAGCATAACATCTGAAATTGGCGCAGTTGTTTATAAGTTTCCTCAAATAAAAATAAAAAAATTAACATAACATGCAAGTGAGAAATTTAATTTACTTTTCATCGCACAACACTTCCAAGTTGTCAATCTGAGATACGACATCAGCGATTTCATCTTTCAATTGCTGGCAAAAAAATATGATTTTATTGTTATTTACATAGAAAAGTGAATAAAATAATTATTAATAATAAATTTGTTTTGAAAGTGACTACTAATATTTTAGATAAAAATAATAGATAAAAATAAATTAATTTTGAAATAAATTTCCAAAAAAACTATCAAACAATTTATGATATATTAAAAATAATCAATACCTCAATCTCCAATAATATCTGTGCCTTTTTTCTTCTAATTTGAATAAGGTTTTCTTGCTCTTCTGCTGTCAATGTATCTGTATGTTCTGTAAATCAGAAATGAAAAATGTGATGAAGAAATAGAGATAAAACATTATTTATGAAATGATATCTCATGATTTTCATATATATATATTTTCATGGGTTTTCTCAACAAACATTGACAAATTCTATCTCTCTTTCTTATCTATTCTTCTTTTCTCTATCTCTGCAATCCCAGCTCCAATAATGTTCAACTGACTAAAAATAAAATTAGGCTACTATTGGCCATGGCTATGCCATGGTTAATGAATAAGTATTTAAATTTAATTAAGCCATTTTAAGGACAAGTACAAAAACAAAAAAGATTGATTGAATATTAATTTTACTACTAAAGCTTGTGAATCCTAGTTTAGAGTCTTCTCATGAGTTTTTTAGGATTTAATTAAGACAATGAGGTCATAAAACGTTGATAAAAAAAACTCTACCTACATACAAAATCTTTGTAATCAACAAAATATATATTTCAGACAGAATAATAACATTTTCTTTCTAAAACGAATTTTGTTGTGTACCTGTAAGAAGGCAACAGCGACTGAGAAAGAAAAGAATTCAGTTTGAAGGGGTAAATACCGCATTGACAATTGACAGAATAAGAATAGCATAACATAACTCAATAACTGATAACTGCATCCATAACTTAGCCTCCTACACCATACTGTGGCCACGAACCGGAACTTTCAGTTTTAAATATAAAAATTTCGATATAAAATTATTTAAATATGAAACTACCTGGCATGGCTTTATTATCTTGCATATCAATCTATTCAATAATTGATATGATACACAAATTTAGTTATTTATCCATTTATTTACTAAATCGGCCATGTTTACAAATTTTGACGAAGGGGTGCCAACACAAAAAAGATTCAAAAGTATCGTAAAATTTTCCAAAAATCGATTCAATTCGTTACATCAGCGTTTTATTCTATATGCATTAATATGAACCTAATTAAAATTAATTTATTCAATTATTTTCTATATAACTTAAATGATATTTAATAAGGCATAAAAGTTTTAGTACTTCCTAAATTTTTATGAAATAATTTATGCGAAATTTATGGTTTTTTAACGTTACTCCCGTGTAATCCCATGACTTTATTTCCTAAAAAAAATCATTCGTTCAAAAGTTTTATAGATTTTATATGGACATTTTTATAATGTATATTTTAACGTAATACTTTTTAGCGTATTATGTGACCAGGTAACTCAGAAGGTTACTCGTCCTGAACTTTGTGATTTGGTTGGAGGCAGGCAAGAATCTTCTTTCTGTGCTTACTTTAAAAATCTGATTCGTCTACTAATCTACTTTATTTAAACGCTACTTTCCCATCCCGGCCATCCATTTCTCGGCAGATCCTGCAACATTTTTCGACTATTTTCTTAATTTAAGTTTAATAAACATGAGCCACTTGAGTTACCACGACTGTACGTTCAAACTCAGAATTAAACAAATTTTATAAATCTGTCCATTATTCAATAAATACTTCTTTGCACATTTTTTTATTCTTTTCTCTATATTTCTCTCTATATTTCTAAAATCTACTGGTTAGTATTTTCTCCTCTCTCCCTTCTCTGAATTAATTTTCTCTCTCTCTCTCTCTCTCTCTCTCTCTCTCTCTCTCTCTCTCTCTCTCTCTCTCTCTCTCTCTCTCTCTCTCTCTCTATCTCCATCTCCATCTCTCTCGTTTATTTTTCACATCTTCTCTCTCCTATTCTCTTTCTATTTTTTGTCACATTTTCTTCAACCGCAAAGCAGCTTCCTTTTTTCTTATGAAACAAAGCCTGACTAACCTCGGATCAACTTGTCAATTAATGAGTTCGTTGGAGCATGCCATGAAAATAAATCAACACATAACGATAGGAATATATGCAGATATTCTTATGCACATTCAAAAGCATACAGTCGGACATCAATAGTCACAAAATATACACACACACATACACATGTGCAAGTGATTGATTATAGAAACATTAACAAACGTACAAATGAATGAATATTCACCGAAAACTAAAAAATATAAACATTCTAGTACACATATTAGCATATATAACCACATGTACGCTTATGTCTGGAAAATAGGCTGGCACATACAGGCACTTGTAGGAACGCAAAACTACACGCAATAAAAGATAAATACGCACGTGAGCAAGTAGACGCGCGTCCTACACTCCCACAAATGCATATATCGATTACACCGTAAACGAACGCAATTTCAACTCGCACTTCCAAACGCGCAAACAAATATTTATTCTCATAAAAAAGACCATTCAATTTTCGCTCAAGAGTAATTTCAATACTATCATAAATTCATCACAATACATATAGTAATCACGCACACATACACATATACATAAACACAAACACACGCACACACGCACACACACACACACGCATATATATATATATATATATATTGTATATATATATATATACATATATATACATATGTTTCATAGAAGATTGTTGTTCGATGGATGTATATATAAGTTGCGTGTGTTTTGAGATGGAGGCAAAAATGTACTTGATGCTGTTGGTCTAAAGTCGGTTTAAAGTCGGTCTAAAGTTGGTCTAATGTCGGCCTAAGTCGGTCTAGAGGCGTGACGCGTTAATTTTATGTTGGGTTTTGTGGCTTTGTATTTAAAAAATTGCTAATAACAATAAATTTAATAAGAATTATAATTTTTTAATTTATTAATTAATTAAAGTGCAGAAAATAATATTTAAACCAGTTAACGCGAGATTTTATTGATTAAATTGATATTAATATAATTAAAATATTTATTTAAAAAGAACTTTCCAAGAACCTAGTAAAATATATAAATATGAAAAAAAGGTAAATTTGAATATTGTTGTTGTTCTTATTGTTTTTATTATTTTTAACAACAATATTTGTTCATTTTTACGTACAAATACCTTATAATTATATGTTAAAAATTTGAAAAAAAAATAATTAAGAAGAAAATCTTTAATAAAATGTTTGAACAATTAATTGAGAACAATGTGGCCACCTATGTAATCGAGGTGCAACAGAAAACTGGTGCGTTCAAATACAAATGCTTATAATAGCATTGTATGTGTGTGTGTATGCTTGTGTGTTTGTGTGTATGCTTGTGTGTGTATGTGCGCGCGAGCGCCAATGAGTTTGCACAAATACATGCACACAAACAAACAAACACATACATACATACATACATACATGTATGTGCATATATATAAACATACAAACACATGCATGAACGCATGCATTTTATAAAAATAAAAAATATAAGCGCTTATGCATTTGGCAGAATGTAAACAAACATTTTTTGAAGAATTATACCGATCTCGAATCATGATCAAACAAAAAAAAACAACCCACCCGTTGAGAGAGCGGTTGAACTTACCGATGGATGAATGAAAGCATAGATGCTTTGAAATGCGGAAGATTAAGAAGCAAAGAAATTAAATAAATAGCAAATTGAGAATTGTAAGAATTGCATTAAATGAAATAAAAGAGATTTAGTAGTAATGTAAAGTATTGAAATGTTTGATCGTAGGCAGAGTTATGTTCACACAAACAAAACGCACGCAAAATATTCTCACATGCAAAAATAAACTCAATAGAAAAAAGGTAAAGAAAGAGAAATGCATGAACGTACAACTGAATGGCATGGAATGGGTTTGCAAGACCCGCGTTCATTCATCAACTATTGCTCCGTTTATCCATCCAATCAGCCGTCCATTCAACCAACCAACCATCCTGCTATCCATCCATCTGTCGATCCATTCAACCAACTAACCATCCGCTCATTTATTTATTCATCAATCCATCCGTACAATCATTCATTCAATTCTATATCTTTCTTTTTCTTTCTGTTTGTTTCCATCAGCAGTTGTAAATGTTGAATACATTTCGTTCTTTGTGGGTGCTGGGTGCGACTCTGACGGACAGCAGAACGTTGCAGAAATAATTTAACAAACAATTCAACTAATGTGTAGAAATTGAGCAAATCAATGTGTAAACAACTCATATAAAACGTTATAAATCACGAGGATGTGTATGAACATGAATGTATGCATATAAATGAAAGTGGGAGGAGTTATAAGAGGTCATATTTTGAGGAGCAGTGTTTGCAGTCCTGCGTAGTCCACATTCAGGAGAGAGAGAGAGAGAGCGAGAAAGTGAGTAAGAAAAGAGGCAAATGTCAAACGCCATTCATTTATATCCCTTTTGAACTTTGACCCGATCCTAATCGATAGTAACGTGACATATTTTCCGATGCTCTTATTGGTTATCGACGTTTAGCTTATGTTGCGTTGTATGCAAGTGTGTGAGTTGAGTGTTGTGTATGAATTTGTATGTGATGCTGCTGATGAAGGATTATTAATGGATGCTCAAGATGCATTCGTCGGTTTTTTCTGTTGTGTTGTTATTTTTGATGTTTGTTGTTTTTGTGTTGCTGCTGCTGTTTTGTTGTTGCTGTGTTGTTTCACAGATGTTGCAGTACACCAGTGGTTTGCATTTCTGGAGTTTGAGCGGTGCAAGAATCTTTTAGTTTGGCTTGAAATGTTAGTTCGAATGAGTTGATGCATGTTGTGTGTGTGTGTGTGTGAGTGAGTGTGTGTGTGTGAGTGAGTGTGCGTGTGTGTGTGTGAGTGTATGTGTGTGTGAGTGAACTGAAAGTTGCTGCAATGCAATCACGTACATATTCACCTCATACACACGTACGTTTCTTACGGTAACTATTTATTTTCCAGCAACAAAGAGTAACTAAAAAACTATAAGATCAGTTAGTAAACAATAAGATGAGCAATGCAAACAAGCAAACACTAGAGATAAACAGCGCAAACATTCAAACAATTCTAACACAAACATACAAACGGCCTAGACAAACAAACAAGACAAACAAACAAGACAAACGCGCAGAGAACATAAACAACAAATAGACACATTTTATTAAGTACGTTAGTTAAGTGAACTTGCATTAAAAACTGAACGAAGCCGATAAGGGCTCTTTTTATTGGATTACACAAACATTCTATATGTGCTATCCGTGCGTGTGTTTGCCTTCCACGCTCATGGAAAACTGAAAAACAAAAAAAAAGCTTATACAAAACTCTTGTCGCTTTTTCATCTCTCTCTTTCCATATATGTGTGTGTGTTTTGTGTATGTACGTGTGTATGTATGTACTAATGTCGCACTCTATATATATGTGTTGTCTGTGTGTATGTACATATGTATGTATTTACTAATGTCTCTCTCTCTCTCTCTCTCTCTCTCTCTCTCTCTAAATATATATATATATGTGTGTGTGTGTGTGTGTACGTGTGCACGTGTGTGTGCATGTACTAATGTCTATCTCAGCGAATACTTGTATGTTCAACTTGACAAACTGTGAAATGAAATATCTGATTGAATTTTTTACGATTTCTTTCTGCCTATGTACTTGTACCGTGCGCTCGTGTCTGCTTGTTTCGTGCAAACCCAACCATCGCTGTTGTAGTAAATACTTTTGTACATCTACGTTTGTTTATATGTATGCTTGTATGTGTGTTTGTTTGTATGTGTGTTTGTGTGTACGCGTGTTTGTGTGTATACGCATGCTTAGGTGTATGATTGTTTGCTTTTACGTTTTTGTTCGCATTCATTTATATGCATTTACAATGCACGGACTCGCGCAAACGTGTATGATTTAATTTATGAATGTATGTATCGATTTGAATCTTTGTAAGTTATTCGTTCACGAGATTACTTTTTTGGTTATATCATGATTGAAATTAATCGTGAGCGAGTGACTGCGTTCCTTCGATAAATTCAACGTCCGCCCTCAACCTCGCTGGCATAAATTTACTACATTCCACTTTTATAGTGGCTTCATTATTAAATTTCTTGCGATATGTTGCTGCTTATTTGCTTGAGGATCTTCATAAATATTTTTAAACGACCTAAGTGGTATAATCTAAATCACTGCTGCAACTTATCTTTATCTCGCCCCGACGATAATTTGTTGAAAACCGATGATCGTGGCTCGATGCATTTGCATAGCTATGTTCGGATTTGTGTGGATGAGATTTTTAGTAATTTAAAAATATTTTATTGCCATATTCAAGCTCTATGACTTTTTTTCATAGTTCTTTGAGAGAAAATAATTTTTTTTGGTTTGTATTTGCGATTGTTTGTTTTGTTGTTTAATCAATTACTTCAAATCAAAGTTTTGCAAAAGCCATTCATTACATGATTAAAAAATTAGTGTTCTCGCATTTTTTTCTGATTCAAACACAAAATTTCATCACCAAACAATAACTTATTTAGTCAAACTCGCACACACACACACACACACGCACGCACACATATATAATAATAGATATATCACATTTTCGTTATTTGAGTCTAATTACAAATGTAGAGATACGTTTGCATGTGTAATTCTCGCATGCCTGTAAATATGTATGTTTGCCAACAATTGAATGTTATTGATCACTGTTCCACCTTTGAAAAACATGCATCCACATACACAACAGTCAGACTTATTTAAATATATACAAATACATATAAATACACATACTAATGTAATTATATATGCATGCAGTCATAGAGTCAGGTACAGACATACATTCCTTTGCAGTTTCACCGTCTTCAACGTATTTAACACGCAAAATTGATAACAAGTCAAAAGGCACTAGACTTTTCAATAAGAATGCCCTTTTTATTATTAACTATCAACATTATAAAAAATTAAACTAAATAAAATTAAAGTTGTTTCTCTTTATACACACACACACACACACACACACACACACACACACACACACACACACACACACACACACACACGCCACACACGCACACATAAGCAGGCAGACGCACTGAACTGATACACTTTATATGTGCCAACTGCCAACAATATGCATTTGTTTATTTAAAGCATTATGACGAAATGAACATGCTTCTAACAAAGCCAACAAATCTTTTTTAAATTTTTTTCCAGGATGATGACACGTCTGAAAAGCATCTTGAACTTCATTTTAGAAATATTTCCTCCCAAAATAGCAGTCATCTGGTTTTGGGTGACGATTTCAATGACGTTCTACTGTGGTGTGTCCCACGTTCTACCCGTCATATACAAGGAAGATGACGATTGGTGCCTGGTGACAGCAAAAATACTGAGCTTCTTTTTTATATGTCAGATGATAGTCAACTGGTTCTGCATTCGGTTGATCTCGTCACGGCATAGGCCGACTTACCAGCAGCAATATAACAAACATCTATACTTGAACGATATTGATGGCTTTGAAATCGATTTCGACCAAATGAAACCTAAGCCCTCTACTTTGAAGAACACGGAAAACTGTACTCTGCCGTTAACTGGGATTCGTCCTGTAGGCAGTAGCAATAAAATGCAGTGGGATCACCATACCATGATCCTAATGCCGTTGAGTGATGGAGAGTTTTGCTTCATTAAATCGAACGAAGTCTTGAAAAATAATTCAGATGAGGTTAATCGGTTAATTAATAGAGGTGACGACGTTAATGTAATAACTTTGGGGTTTAACAATGCTGATCCAAAACAACTTAATAAAGAAGAATGTCTGAATTTATTAATAAAAAAGAAATTATTGTCAAAAATTATAGCCAACAAATATCCAACTCACTATTTTCAGAACAATGTAAACGATGTTGATTGCACGTCACATCCAGGGAAAATTCAAGATTCTGTCATAGTCGATATGACAAGTTATGATGTAGAATATAAGAGTTTTATCGCTGGTCACCCTTACAATGCACACATTCTAAACGGCAATAGACAACTCAACTACTCGGAAGCTATTCAGATGATGCCTTGTGACGCAACCTCAAATAAAAATGGAAATAAAGTCGTAGTTTATCATTATTGGTCGTGGAGGCCGTGTCATTATTGTGGAATCGTGAGGCCCCCGAGGTCGCATCACTGCAAGTTGTGTCGATGCTGCGTGCTGAAGAGAGATCACCACTGCTTCTTCGCTACCAACTGCATCGGCTTGAACAATCAGCGACATTTTGTTGTTTTCTTGTTCTGGACCTGTTGTGCAATCACATTTTGTTTGATTCATTCCGCACTATACTTGTTCACCAGATGCGTTTCTAATGAAAACTGCGTTGATGTCAATAGCTGTGGCGGGAATGGAAGCTCAAATAAAATTGAAGAGAAAAGTGAAACTGAAAGTGACTTAGAAAAAAACGGAATTTTTGGATGTCTTTCAGATGTTGTACTGCCGATGACTGTGGTGAAGATGATTCGGGGTAAGTGTACTCTGATGGATCTTGGACTGGTTGTCGTTCTCTATTCATTAGTTTGGTTTTCATTCGTATGCGGAACATTTTTTATCGAACAACTGAAATTAATATTATCAAATCTGACACCTTTTGAGAAAGAAAGAGGCATTGGCATCATTACCAGCGAAAATAAAACAAACGAGGTCAATTCTTCACAATTCCATTACGCAATCAACCGAGCTATCAAATACATCAATCAATGGAATAAAAGTTTTTTTTGGGTTTTCGGAAAACACTGGATGCTAAATTTTTTCCTACCTCTTCATTTTATCTACCCGTGCCCAGAGGATGGTATGAGTTGGAAAAGCGTTGACTTCTGCATAGGATCTTCGAGAGCTTAGGCAAAGGAAACTTTCTTTTCATTTCACTGACATACATAATTTTTCTTTCCTACAAAACATTAAATGTTTATATATAATTTTTTACGCTGATTTTAAATCTGAAAACCGTTTTGCCCTTTTCCACTGCGTTCCAAAGAAAAAGGCTGATAACCTTTTATGTAAATGACGCATCGTTGCTTCTTGGGTCACAAATAAAACAATGGAGCATAATAGTTCCTGGTGCAAAAATATGCAACTATCGCTACAGATACTGTAAAGTAAACTTATGCAGTACTTTTGATCAGATGATAATAGTATCTGCTATTGTAATAATGTCAACAATATCCTGACACATCTCGGTCTTTAACATGAAGTTCAGGACCAGTGTCTTTTCATCGACGCATTAAAACGAGTTTAAAGTTTTAAACAAATTGCTTACTGATTTGAAATCAGAGTGCTAAAATTAACCAGAAATACATACTAGAAATACTAGAGAAAGTAAAAAAAAATTTTTTATGTCAATGTTTTCTTCTTTATGTATTATTTTATAAATTTAAATGCAATAATTGATAACGAATGTTTTGGTTCAGCAAAATGTGATCTTTATATTGAAAATACTTTCCTTATTTTGTAGTCAGAGGTATATTAAGATTTTAAAATATGCTTATAAACAAACATTTCATAATTGCAACTACCACTCAACCCAATCATGTCGAACAAGGCACAAAATCGCAAACAAGCAAACGATCAAACAAACAAACAAACAGACAGAAAAACAAACAAAGAGTTGAAACCTTTAAACTGACAGAAAACGAAGCGTGACTAAAAACATTTGCAATGATGGAGGGATGTGATTGTTCGAGCTTGATTAGACAGTTTTTATAAAGTTTTCCATTGGTGCGATTTTAGTTGGAAACCAACGTCCCGAGAGAACTCTCAAGTACAAAGTAATTACCATCCTCAATTGAATCGTTTCTTTTTAATTTAATTCATTTTTTTATCAAGCGGACAACTTTTTAAATGAAATTATTAAATGCGGTAAGCCTCTCATATACATTTATATCATTTTTAATAAAAATTTTCCTACATATTTTACGTATCTAAAATGAGCTTTTAAAACTTTCATGGACTTTTTGTACCGATTGCTTATTGAAATGTTGATATACATGCTAGCAATAACTTTTTATACTCAAAATATTAACCTCAAATTGTTACTTTCATGTATTTGTTTGAACGTGTTAGAATTATCACTTGCGCGTGTTTATACCATTTTCAATTAGCATCCACTAATTTTCTTCGAGATAGAGATTATTTATTAAATGTAATTAATGTTATTTAATGTAATTACAGTTATCTAATGTAATTATTGTTGTTTTATGGTATCTCCAAATGACACATATCACTTTTAATGAGAATCACCCAGCTATTTTTACAAACACACTTTTTATATTTATATAGCGCTGATTTCATTTTTAACAAATCCACATCTTCAAATGTTTTTCGACATTGTTTTTTGATTGTGCAAAAACAAAAGGTTGAAATTATTTAAATCTTTCAATCGATACTTTTTGTTTACCTTAAGCATATACATGAAAAAGAAAAGATAAAATGTTTTTAAATTATTTCAAACAAAAATTAAAAGAAATTGAAAACTTGTTTAATAAATCGATCAAGCGCCTAGAACTCGAGTATCGTGAACGTTTGTTGCAACACATACACACGCATACATACACACATACATAGAAAGAGAGAGAGAGAAGAGAGAGAAGGAGACAACAAGCACACACACACACTTGTACGTCTTCATGGTCTTGTGCTCCTCTCATTACTTATAAATTATTTATGCAATCACTTCATTCGTTTATTGGAAGTTTATGAATACGAGCCAACAGACAGACAGGCCTTCAGACAGGCATACAGACAGGCAGAGAGACAGACGGATTGTGTTCCAAGGTTCATATTGTTCCTTACTTCTCTTTTATATTGCCATTGTTTCACTATCAGCTTCATCCGGATTGTGTGTTTATGTCCAGACAGGCAAATTAACTCCAAAGTTCCTGTCAGTTTTTTGGTATTTGCTGTTTCATCCTAACAGCTCGCCATTTTTCATCGTTACATTACATCAACTGTTTGGTTCAATTTACTAGGAAAATTTGAAAAACTCACATTTGATTGTTTTACTTTTACAGTTGAGTAGATAGGTAGATGAGGGTATATTATGAGGAATGGATGAACGAACGAATAAATAAATAAATGAATGAATAAATGAATGAATGAATAAATAAATAAATAAACTGAAAAAGATATGCAATAACGCTTGGATGAATAACACACAGACGTGAAAATAACAATCCAACTTTCTCAAATATTCTTCGGCCTTGCGTGCGAGCAGAGATGTATGGCGCGGTATGCCTGCACGCAATTGAATTATCATCTTATCAATGCTTTTCATTAGATCGGCGATAATTGAAACTCCTATGCACGCTACAGAAGCAGATGTAGATCCTATTAAAATGGTACGCTATTCCGTTACTCCTTACATCGGTCTCGGAGTGTAACTTTTAAAATGTATGTTTATTAAACTTCCAATCAATCACTGAAATTTTGTGCAAGCAAAAACACAATGCTGGCAAATATCAAAAGATAGTGACATATGATAGTAAGATGTGATTGTTAAATATGATTGTCAGATACGACGGAAAATTATGATGGAAAGATATGGGAATAAGATGTGACGGTGCATGTAACAATTGAAGATTTCTTTTGCACTTGATCCAGGGCGAAACATCTTCCTACTATCTAACTAGCTTTCTCGTCAGGCAGACAGCTGACGTCACATGAATGATGACAAAAAAATATTTCGATCACTGAGCTGAGTGCATGAGAATGTTTCAAGATGGCCTCAACTCAAATCAATGCTCTTTGGAAATATAATTTCTTGAGAAATAAATCTATCCATGATGAATGAATGACATGGAATAAAAACCACAACTACTTCAACATTTATTATTGCTGACACAAACAAAAATTATAAAATTTAAAATTTAACAAAATCATTCCGTTTCTACTGGACAAGATTCCCAAGTTATAAATAATTAAATTTTATTATTATTATTTCTTTATTATTGTTATTATATGTATCTGATTTTATTATTATATTGTTTCATTATTATAAGTATTATTACTAATTAATCAAACTTCTAAATTTTCAAACCTTAACCAATTAAAATGTACCTGTGATTTTATACACGAGCGTAAATTTCGAAGCTGGAAATCTGGAAAAACATTTCATGGCGCGTGCGAATTTATCATTTCGTTATTAATTCAATAGCTTCGTCAACGCAGAACTGCTGAAACATCATTCCATACTCATTGCTTCTTTAAACTCTCATGCCACAAAGGCTGTAACATCCTTAATAATAATAAAAGAAACAAAAAATACATTCAAACCACACGACAGGCAAATTATACATGCACGCGCAAGCTTATACAGTGGTAGATCTAGAAAGGTTCCACTCCCAACTTCCACGTTGTCTAGATACACTAGATACATCATATACATAGATCTACATATATGCTATTTTCACTCTTCGTATAATATAACAGGAACAGCGCTATTCACCCAGTACATAAATCATTGTTCCTAATTATCAGAGTACCCAAAAAAGAGGCACATTGCGAACCAGTCTCACGTGCTTCCAAATTGGCGGAGCAATGGAAATGAACGATACATCACTTTTAATTGTTGCCGAATGTTGTACATGCTTGCAGTCGATGTAGCCAGACATTCATATAAATAAAAATAAATAATTTATATACATACACTTATATGTTCTTACGTATATATGTATGTACGCCTGTACACACACACACACACACACACACACACACACACACACACACACATATATATATATATATATATATATATATATATATATATCACCAACCACCACCTACCACCATATATGCTGGAAGGAGACCATATTTTATACAGTATTGTATGAATTCTACCAAATTGTTGGCATTAATCAATTTAAAATTTGTCTTTTCAATTTTCCTTATTAGAATTTTTTGGAAATTGTTCAATTTGTTGAAATGTTGTAAGGTTATATATAATACAACAATATTATGAAAAAAATATACATGATCATAAAATAGATGATATAGTTCAGAATAATAAGAAAAATAAACTAATGGAAGTAGTGAATGATATAGATACATATATTTAATATGCATGAGTATAATTACTCATCTCATGTGCGTGAATCAAACGTCAACACCGAGCAAAAATGCAGCGACAAGTGGGAGATGAGAGCACGTATGATTTCCAGCGCTTCAACGCACGCCAGCAGCCCCACCAGCCGTTGATGATGTCATAGAGTATGAAACGCAAAATTGAAACTGAAGTGAAGGCTCAATTTTTTTATTAAAAAATTATTATACAACGTAGACATTTATCATTCAGTTCACTGTTTGTTTGTCGTTCAATTGGATTGCGGACTGATGGAATATATGGTCCGGAATTTCAGTATAGGAATTTAACTCTAGTAATTATATTTTAAAATTAACAGGAAAGCATTGAAATATTAAATAAATTCACCCCCAAACCAACATTCATTCATAATTTATTTAAACTAGAATCGCCCGATCGCATTTTTATGAGGCCGTTATACATTTTATTGGAAGCAAATGCAGCATTTACGTCACATTCATTCTGATACATAACAAAAAATAATCAACCGAAGTGGAACACGTTTATGACAGTGACGTAGGCCTACGTATGAGTTTTTGAGTTTTGAAGAGATTCGTCATTTCTGTGAAATTCATTTCGTAAGATGCAGTCTGTCAGTCCATCGATGAAGTTGCACATTTGTGGTGAAGCAGAGCGATGAATATCGGCAAAATATTATTTCTCGGTAACTTTTTTTTCATCATTATTTTCGCAACAACAGGTCGACAAAACGGAGGTTCGCGTAAAATAAATTGTGAGGAGAAGATCAGGGTTAGTTTAACTTATTAACACAAAATAACATTTGAAATCACGGCGAACCAAGCTTTCATGGGTGTTTTATTCAAAATTTCATAAGATCCATCAATGTAACCGAACATACTGGCGATACTGCGATTTGTTACATTCTAATGCCAAGTTTTTTCACCCTTGCATTAGTTTAGTTAAAAAAAGCTAAAATATCTATTGCACTCTTCCTAAGTCCAGAAGAGTCAACAAACAATTCCAAGTGTCTAAGCCATCACATCAGTAAAAGGAGATAGCATCACAAAATTCCTTCAACCTATATATAACCAGCGAACGATTTTGACGTTGCCAAGCCTTATGAAATTAATGGTATTTTTGAAAATACAAGAGGTGATTCAATTGAGTTTGAGTTGAAATATTTTAGTAGCTATAATTCGGTTAGATACTTTTTAAATTTATACTGGCCACATTTTCATATCATTTTCGATTCTTGTTAGCTCAGCTGATCCAACCCTTTCTTCACTAAAAACCAATTCGCCAAAAAACACTATTTTAACCCAAATAATCTTGTCTATGTGACTTTGCAATCTCTTCAAAAAAACGACATACCTCTCAAACGCACATACAAATTCACACGTTGCACATAGTTATTAGAGATATTCATATTAACACACGTGCATACTTTCGTAAATACATATATACATACTTGCATACAAAGATATAAAATACGTATGACCAACTCTGAATCATGTTCAAATTCGAACAGGTATGTACGTCAATAACGATTTCAATAGTGCGTGTTTTTGTTGAGTCCCATAGAGAAACAATGCAACTCGATATTAGAGAGGCCTGAGGTCGCCATGGGAAAGCAACAATCCGTTTCTTTAATTTAAATGGCTGTCTGGGGACCATTCGAAATAAATCTACCTTTTAATACGATTCATGTTTTATTTTAATGAACAAATACACATTAAGTTATTTTATTAATAAATTGAAAACTATTTCTACTATCAAGAATTTTCATTTATTATTAATTTTCTGTTAATATTTTTCAAAACAAATTGTGTAAAAATAAAAAGTATATTATGTAAAGAATATAAAGACTTAAAATAGTCAGAGAAAGTAAAAAAATACGAAATGAATGCCATGACACATGTCGTAACTGCGTAACATTCCTGCTGAAGACAGATTTACATACAACTATCAACAATACATTGTCCCATAACATGCATGCAAAAGCAAAGAGAACTAGAGAGGCGGACAAATGAAATAATTAAAGTTAAGCACAAACAAAGGGGGCATATCAATGATTTTATATCAAAATGAAAATTACATCCTACAAAAGAACAATACAAGCAGATAGGCAAAGAAAGATAAAAACATGTAAAAAATTAACTAAAGAAATTGGGATGCAAAATAATTTTCGCCTTCGATCAGCAATTGGAATTTCTGGCCTGATCTATCAGGTGATCAAATGACTTGCTTAGATAGTACGCACTACATCTTTTGTCATGTTCTTTCAGCCAGCACTGTCGCATAAGTTCTCCAATTTCAGGATGTTCAGGGCATGGATTGTCAAGTCGGCCACCATTCCGAACATATTTAGACACCTCATCTAGTTGTTTAATATGATCAAATGGATGAGCGCCGTAGCTCAACACTTCCCAAAGTAGAACCCCAAAAGACCAGACATCTGATGCAAATGAATAGTAACCATGTTGAATGGCTTCTGGAGCAGTCCACCTGACAGCGATAGGTTCTGCTTCCATGCCTTCATAATAATCCAAATTACTTGGTAACTCGACTGCTAGGCCAAAATCAGCCAGCTTCACCAAAGGTGAACCGTCTGGTAAATTTTCGGCACTGACTAGAAAATTGCGGGCGGCCAAATCCCTGTGCAAGAAACGGCGGCGTTTTAAATGTTCCAGAACGCTTGCCAGCTGGCGGGCGATGCTTAGTTGTCTGGAATAAAATCTTTCCGAATGGAAGTAATGGGCTGGTTTTAGAACTGGTAAGTAGGAATGAAGGTCTCTATGAGCCATATATTCCACGACGATACTTAATGGACTTCCTAGAAAACAAACGCCAACCAATTTGATTACATTAGTGTGGCTGAGGCGTGCAATTAGTGAAGTCTGTCTAGCAAATTCTTGTTTAACGGCTTCCGAACAACCTTCTCTTAGAACTTTTACTGCAACAAAATTTTTGTCTGATTCCATTTCACCTGATGCACCAGTGGCTGTTCCTCCAGAACCACTAAAACCTAACTCAAGTAATGCTGCCGTAGCTGAGCTACTAGCTGTATTCGGTTTAAGTTCGTTTTCAATTTTAATATTCGTTTTGCCTTTAAGTCTAGCTTTAAAAACTGGACCAAAAGCGCCGACAGCGATATCACTTTCATATACAACTGAATTTCTATCGAGTTGATAAGAGCCTAAATGACTATTATTGTTAGCAGCGCTGTTACTCTGCTGTTGAAATGGTTGTTGTTGCAGCTGCAAAGATGATTGAGCTTGTTGGAGAGCAGTCAATGATTCACTCGCATTCGCTGCCGTAAGTGGACGCAGCATGATGTCACTGTTGTCAGCGTTTGGAATTGTAATTTGACCCGTTGACATTATTGGTAATCGACATTTTCTTTCACGCCACTTGAAAAAAAAGACAGCAAAGACAATTACAATAATGACGATGGCGATGATAGCACCAACGATGCCACCGATGAGTGCTCCAGTTGAATCTTCTTCCCCAGCGTTCGATTCTTGATGGATGAGTTCGTCATCCTTGTTGTTGTAGTTGTTGATGCCGTCGGTAGCAGATGGTGAAGGTGAAGTCCAGGGGTTGTTCATTTTTAACGGATCTTTCTGAAGAGCACGTTGAGACATAGAACTCTGATCATCTGGTAGCAAAAAAATATAACATAAACAGTTAAATAAACAAACAAATATATCAATCGCCGATCACAGCAGAGGATCTCGACTCTCTAGAATGACTCACAAGTACATAAATAAAATACTCAATTAAAAGTGTTAAAAAAAACAAAATCAATAAATAATAACCCTCTATTCTAACCTTTCTCAACTGAATCCTCATCATCAAAGTTATCTAAACTAAGGCATGTTGGTCTAGTGTGCTTGTCATCAAATTTGACGCCCAAACCATCATCTACATTCGATGATGGTAATGCATCACAATCGTAATACAGTCCTTGAACTGTTGAGGAAGATGATCGCGTTGATAAAGGCCATTCGACCCACCATTCCTGGCAAAGGTTCTTTACTTTCAAGCACGATTCTCTGAAGCATGAAATATAAAATGATAAAACACACACACCTCTCTCCGCAAATAATTAAAACACAAACTCAGCGTAACAACCTGCACACTGTTGAAGACTGTGATGATGACGACGACAGCGGTGAAGACATCCATGTCAGCGGTTGCGATGGGGGTGCTGCTGCTGCTGATGAATCGCAAGGCAAAAAGTAAATATTACAAAAAAATTTGATTGCTTCCAGGAAGCAGGATGACGAAGGCAACATTGATGACGTCATAGAGGCGATTCTCCCTTCACTGGACAGAGTATAATTTTGAGATAAAATTCGGACGACACTGTTGAACATCAGGTGACCATGGCACACACTCCCGTTATACTCCATGCACTGAAAATCTACATTTGAATTTAGGGTGCTATCTTGAAATTATTCATGCATGATAAATCATCTCAGTTATTAATAATTAATTAATTGATAATTAATTGACCAATAGATAATTAAGCTCATCATTATTTTGTTGAATATTATTAAAAATAGACACAATTTTAAATGTAAACATTATCAATAATAAAAAATAACTATAAAAATGATGATAATCTTATTAATGATGTTATTAAAAATGACATGTAAGAATGAAAGAAATCACCATCAACAGTGATGAAAGCAGAGGTGGATATGCTGGAAATCTTGTTGCTTGCCGTGCAATTATACAAGCCTGTTTCTGTGGCAGTGAACCGGTACGTGTTGGTCGAAATGGGTTGGCCACTACCATCTCCACCATCGTACAGCTTTACAAATTTAATATGGCATCTTTTATTAATGTTGCAAGTATTATTGTAAATAGAGATTACAATGAAGTGATTGTAAAAACAAAAAAGTGCATGCATCTACCTGTTTATTATTTTTGAACCAGGTTAGAGTTGGTTGAGGTGTACCAGTGACGTAACAAACCAACACCACATCGGTGCCACTTGAGACTGTCCTGTTCCTCAACGGTCTCACAAAGTACAGTTTCTCTGTTTCGTAAGTAAATATATGACGTTAAAAGCATTCAAAGTCTTATAAACTTGTCCATTTAACTCTAGAAATGACATTTATAAATTAAATAAGGAACCTTACTAAGTTTGATGTAGGTGGGAGTTTAAAAAAAAACATTTGTAGGTGATATAATTTAGATAATTTGAAAATTGACATTTGAATACAAATGAACAATCTGCACCTTGCACTGTGACATAGGCACTCTCAGAAAGAACTGACTTGACGTGATTACTTGCAGTGCATCTGTAGAAACCCTCGACACTGAAGGTGACATTGATGAGGACGAGGCTGCCCCGCTGTAGGACCCTGTGCTGACCTGACAGGTTCTGCCAATTTGTTCCTTCCTTTTTCTGCCACGTTATGATTGGTTTGGGGTGACCACTGGCGGAGCATGATAGCGTTACGTTCTCGTGTGTTAAGGCGGTTACGTTTTTGGGGCTCTCTACGATTTTTGGCTCTGTGTGGATTATCAATTTAAGTAGTTAGTAACAATTTTGGTAGCAAAGGTTTTGAAACGAAATGTATAAAACAAAAATATTTGATGAAGTTTTTAATTATTAAACTTGTAACTAGTTAAAAATAAATGTAGCAGAGAGAAATTAAAACTGAATTAGATAGAATGTTAAAAATTATTATATTTATAACATTTGTTTAGTATGAAGTAATTGTTTGAGCATCCAATGGAGATAATAATATTCTCTTAAACGAACAAGCCAGTTATTAAGTTAATTGATGGAGGTGCAGCTATATTAATAATGGTAAAGATAAAGATAGCCAGAGTGAATAATCACATTTGGAACCATTAATGCAACCATTCACACTTTCACTTAACATCTAATCCAGTCATCATTCATAGATGAATGTGTGTATCCATCCATTTATTCGTCCATCTGACCACCATTAACACACCCATCTAACAAATACAACTGTCCAACTGTCCATTTATATTGCTCCTACATACCTCTATAACACAGGACCAAGTTAATAGCTCATCTATTTATCTAGCCATAACCAATTAAGCTGTCAACAAATCTATTTATACATTCCTTTATTTATCAATTCTTTCCTTCCTTTCTTCTTTTATTCATTCATTCATTCACTCATTAATTCATTCATTCATTCACTCATTAATTCATTCATTCCTTTGAGGTTAATAATGAAAACTATCCTAAATTCTAAGATTCCTTGTTTTTTAATAAATAAGATATTTCCTTGAGAATGAGAAAGAGGGAGAGAGAGAGCGAGAGAGAGCATATATGCATAACTGTAAATAGCAACAACAAGTAAGTAACATTCCATTGTGACAGTTATCAATGTAAATGTAACAAACATAGCATAAAATTACTAAAAGATGACACAAATATTTAAGAAATTCAAAGAATGAGACATAATAAGGATGATGATGAGAACGAGAAATGTGATTACATTAATGATGATGATGATGAATGAATGAATGATGGATTTGAATGAATGAATGATGGATTTGGTTTATATTAATGATGAAGATGATGATGAAGAATGTGATAATGTTGATAAAGGATGATGAGCTTAAAAATAAATTAAACAATCAAACTCAACATCCAACTATATTTTAACAAAATAAATCAACTAGGTAAATATTAACTAAATGAATAATCTATAAATAAAAGTTACATAAATGTGATTGACAATGACAACAAGGGAGGTATGTGAAATGTTAATAGTTCACACATACACGCGCGCACACACACATGCACATACACGAACGCACACTCATACACACACACACACAGAGAAAGAAAGAAAGAGAGAGAGAGGGAGAAAAAGAGAGAGAGAGAGATACACTAAAAATGTATTTGTGAATGATTAGTAAGAATTCATACATATAAAATGCCTAAGTCAAGTTGCCTGATAAACAATACAAAATAGCAAAAAGAATTGACATTAAATCATAAATGGAATGTGGACTACGGCTGATAAATTATAATTCTTTTTGTTAACTTTCTTAACTTCTTTTAAAACAAAATACTCTAGCACAAAACATCCCTTAATAATTTATGTATAACTAGTTAATTACCTTCTTACCCTCATCATCAAACAAATATGAATGTTTAATAATTTAAAAAAATGGTATCAATAAACAATTTTTTTTTAAATGTGCGAAACAATTTTTACATATACACCAAATAAATTTATAACCTAGTTATACCATGCAAATGCTGGCATGATATAATTATAAATACAAATACTTATTCGTGTATTTGGAAGAATACAATACAAAGTATAATGAAATAATGAATCACATGACTTTAGCCTGTCTGTCATGTGAGGAGTATGATGATGACAGAAAAAAATGTATTTACATGAATGAAGATTCAAAATATAAAATTAATTAACCAAGCCAAGATCATAGATTAAAGTTTTATATATGATGTTTAATCTTTAAACATCATATTTGTATTTGTATGTGTATTGTATAGATTTAGATTTATTATTATTATCATAATTATTAAGAACAAAAAATAGGCAAAACATTAATGCTCCTAAGCCCATATCAATGAAAATTACGTAAATTAAATGTCTTTTTCATATTAAACATAGAAAAAGAATAGAAAAATAACAAAAAAAAGTTATTTATCTACATAAAAATATTTTCACTTAATAACCAATTTCAACAAAATGATTGTTCCAATATCATACACCAGGAAATAATAAAATATGATGATTATCTATATAAAAATATTCTCATTCATTAACCCCATTCAATGGAGCAGTTGTTCCAAACATCATAAACCAGCTTTCCAATCAAATTTAAAATCCACGTTCATTAAGAATTTATTTTAAATTCATTCACTCTTAGGCATTGACATCATCTTCATATAAACTGTTCCAAATGTTTAACATTCAAATGGACTAATAATTCTTTAATTCTTTCTCAAATTGCTGCCAAATGGTACAAATGGTAAAGTGTAATGATTAGACTACAATAAACCATATATACTATATATATATATATATGTATATATATATATATATATATATATATATATAAAGAACAAAGATTAATTATTTATTTAGATATCATAAAATAGATTAATAATTAATAAATTTAGTATATTAACAAACTATAAAAATAAAAACGAGAAGCTGGGAAGGCCACCAATAGCAGGTTTTTAGGCATAATCCTATGACAGTGCCTACCATTCAATTGAAAACACGTTATTTACATGTAAATAAGTTTTATATAAAAGATTTGATAGGGTTTGGTTAGGGTTTAGATTAAAATTTATATTTTTAAAAGTATTTTCACGTTTTTTAATCATGTGCACTATCTAATTCATACTTACTCTCGCGTTGCAGGCACTGTTCTAGTATTTTGCCGGTTTTTAACCTACTAATCAGTTAAAAATAAGATTTAAATTTAAAGGCTTTAAATTTTAAGAAGCTGTCTTTGTTTTGTACTCATACTGTACTGTTACTGAAGTACTGTAAAACTAATGTTGTACTGTATCAGCTCTTGTATTTTTTTAGTTCTATTTTAATTCAACATAATAATTTAATTTTAATTTAATTACATTATGATTACATTACTTTCAAGAACAAAATTCAATCATAAAATAAATAATGCACAATAGCAGCAACATTTATTTGAAATACATAAAACAAAAACACACACAGAAAACACGTGCTAACTTTGAAAACGTTCATTACATACACTAACTTAACTACACTACGTTGATATTTTTATCTAACTAATTTCTAAATGATGATTTAATTAACTAACCTTCATCTCTTCTCTGACTTGGAGCACCACAAGTAGACAGAATAAGTAAAAATATAGACTTCGAAAAATATTTCCAAAAAAAATAAAACATAAAAAAAACAAACATATTAAAAATAATTTAAAATAGAGTTTCTACAAAATTTCGCTTCAAATCATGATTAAATATCACACAGCGATCTATCTGATTTTACTACAACCAAAGTTTAAAAAAAGAAACCAAACTCAAAACGGCTTTGCGATTAGATGAGTGTTTAGGTAAAGTTCAAAAATATCTAGTTGAAGATAAAGTTTTTTAAAGTACCTTCTTTATATATGCTTGATAGCTTTTTCTGCACGGGTATTTTTCATAAAATTTTAATAAAAAATCTAAAATTCCAGTTTTGCTTTGGTATTAGTCGTTTAACCATCGCATTAAAGAAACAATTTATTAAAGATCGATTACGTTGATTTAGTTTTGGTTATTTGTTGTAGAACGTTCATACAGCGTATATTGCCGTATTATGGAGATTACCTCCTGACTCCTTGTCTCAAAATTTTAAAAAATAACAGAGCGCGTTACAATTGAAAAAAAATGTCTTCCCACTCTAAGTGACATCTCTGTCTCATTAATGCGAACATTAAAATTTCTTGGTACGGAAGAAAACTTTCCGACTGTTAATGAATATACAGTGCATTAAACGCAAGATCTTATTATATATTAGAAGTGATTTTGCATTCCATTCAGCATACACCGCAGGCCCCGGCAAATTAATTATTGAGCTATTTTTGAATTTTAAAGGTGAAGGCGATGGAGCTCTATATGCCGCTATAGCTCGCCACATATCATCAGTAATTTTGATGGATTCATACTCCTCTTCAAAAATGAAAACATTACATCACCTTAATTTCTGCCTACGTCATTTAAAGTGTACACACGAACTAATAACATTCTCCTAATAACATGTTTATATTTGAATAATACGCGATCAATTTTGGGAAAGGAAACGATCCCCAAGCTCCGTACTTAACCAAACTTCGTATATAATGACCAATAAATGCGAGCGGATACAATGAGTTTGAATTTAAAATTGGCATCATAATTCAACCGAACTTACCCGCAATCTTCTTGGTGAAAAAATTTTATTCTACAAAAAACTCTAGTAAGCTTACAAAACTTAAATTAAAGAGTTCAATCCATCATGCTATAAAAAGTATCGACATGTTATTATGTAGGTATGTATGATTCAATATTGTTAACTACATCAAAAGCAATGAAACATTATTTTACAGAAATGAATTCATACAAGTACAAGTTAAATGTTTCCACGAAAAAGACATTTGCTTTAATGAAATGAAACAAAAAAGTTGAAATAAATAAAATTTTGATGGTTCTGCCATTTCAAAAATTACTCCAACTTACTAAAATGGTAAACTTGAAAATATTAACAATGAAAGATACGTAAAAATTAAAAAAAATGTTGATTTCAAAGACACAATTCTTCATCAAAGTATAAACAAATTTGGAAAGAAATGCAAAAAAAGACAAAGATAAAAAAATAAATTTTATGAAATTTACAAAAAATAAAGAGAGAATAGACGCTAAACTAAATATACATGTATTCAGTAAGTTTACCACCATGTAAATAATAATAACAATAAATAAAAACTATACAAATTAAGCGATAAACTCGAAAATGGTATGTAGGCAATAAACTTTTGCGCAAAACACCCAAAAGTTTGAAGAAACCTACATACATATATGTAAAAAAAAGTGAAAGAAAAAATATTTGGCAACAAATAACCTAAAAAGGGCAGTAATAATACTACTTAGAATAAATAAGATTACAATGTATATAAATCACAAGTTAATTACTGTTGTTATAATTTACTGAGAGTAAAAAATTAACAATTTTCCTAGAGTAGTCAGCGGAAAAAATTCAAAGAAGCTGATAACAACTTTTGAATATTCAGAATTAATTTTTGAGGAGAATTATTTTGAAAATAAAAATTTCGTAATAAGAAAAACGTTTGTCGTGCATTTAGATATTTTGATGTACCAGGCTATATTTGAAAAAGTATGATTCTTAAATAAGTTTATCTGCTGACTAGACTGCAAATATTAAACAAAGAAAGCGTTGAATGAGGAAAAGTAAAAATTAGTAAAACTGTTAATTTTACCATAACGATGATAACATCTCGACACAATCTTAAATAGTGATAAACGTTATTATTCATTATCACTATTTGTGAGTTCAACAACGAGAGCTGCTACTGTTAGCATCAATGAAAAGTGTACATGAGAAGGTTTAACTAGAAATCATTATTTATGGTTTTTATGGAAATAACAACCTCTACGCCGTCATCACCATCTTCATCACCTTCATCATTATTATCATCATCTTCATCATCGTCATCGGAATATTTATCATCACTACATTTTCTTGTGCATGTACATACATGCACACACACATGCACACAGACGTGAGATATAACATTATAAAACCATCATTTAAATATTCAAATGCGTCTGATGCAAAATGTATTTGAAACGAAATTTATCAATAATAATAATAATGACAATAGTAATAATAATAAACGAAGTAAAAAAATAAGAATAATAATAAAAAAAACAACAAAAATTTAAACAGTAGTAATGATAATAAAGATGACGAAGACAGTGCAAAATCAAGCTCTAAAACAAACTGTTAACTAAATTAAATAAAATTATAAGTGAAAAAATGGACAAAACTTATATAGACACAGAGAGGACATGATCATGATCACACACAAACATGCGTAACACACATTCACATAACATACACACAGACATATGTCTAAACACAGTGCATTTAATACTGATCACAACGTGAAACCTTCACACAACCCTCACACGCACAAACAAACTTAAATACATAAATGAATACATACACATATACAAACATACATACACATATATAAGAAAATGAAATGAGCAGGTAAAAATACGATAAAGAAAAAAATTTTTAAATATACGCTATTAAAAATATGACCAATACATAAGAATAGAAATAAATTTCACAATGCAAGAAATATTAATTGAAATATATGAAAGTTTAAATAAAAAAAAGTATGAACCATTCTGAATGGTACTATTAAGTAAAATTTGCAATTTAGATCTGTGGAAATCACTTCAAACCCTAGTACTATATCTTTGTTCCGACAAATTTTTGCTACCAAACACCTCTTAACCTCAAACTCCAACCATACCAATCCAACACAAATGAAAGAATTAGGGAATAACCAATAATAAATAAACTGAAATAAAATAGTAATAATAATAACAACAACAACAGTTAACTTATTTTTGGTGATAACTTTTATAGAGACAACATACAATGAAGCATTTAAAACTATTTTAAGCATAATCAAACAAAAGTTATAAACACAATGCAAACCGATGCATATACACAATACATAAACACATATATATATATATTATATATATACATATATATTTATGTATTTATATATATATACATATTACATATACACATATAGGTGTATAGGTATAAACAATGACGATGATGATGGTTAAATAGTAATGCTGGTATAAAGGGTACCATTTATACAAATATGTATGTACATTATATGTATATATATATATATACATTTTAAACAATACTGTATATATATATATAACTTCCTTCACCGTGTTAACATATTACAGTCTGATCATCAGAATCATCATTGCCAATATACTTTAGCCAGATTAATAAATACAAACATCGGTGATAATAATTGAAAAATAATAGTGATAATAACAATAATAATTAACATATTAATATTAACGTTAGCAAGAATGACATGAAAACGTGTTAGTTATGAGACGTACGTAAATGGAGGAACAGACATACATATATGAAATGTATCACGAATGTTCATCATGGTGATTGTGATCTGCTTGCACTGTCTTTTGCATTTGCATCAAAGCTAATGTTGATGATTAATGTCGTCACTGCTAATGGCTAGCACATTTAATTATTCATAATAATAATAATAAATAGTAATAATATTTTTATTATTAATTATCATTACCATTATCATTATTATATCATTTGTGTTGTTCATATTTCTTGCTTCTTTACTCTCTACAAGGAAGGAAATGAAAAAATAAAAAATTCTAACTTAATTTTACACTAATCAACAGATTAACTAACTGACCAAGTTGACCAGGTTTACGATTGCCCATTTTGATTGACAATCACTGGAGCCCCTCCTCCACCTCTGATGACAGCTGGTTGTGATGGGGGAGATGGAAACTGCCCTGCCCTGATTGGCTTGGCAATTTGGGCTGAGTGCCCGCGACGGAGAAGATTTTTTTGGCGGACTGCTTCTTTGATTCTGTCAACTTCCATTTGGTATCTGCGTCGTTGACAATTTGATAATTTCAAGCCATAAAATTTTGTAATCATATAGCGTGGTGTAGTATAATCTCAACACAACAAACCTCTTCCTGTCTTTCATGGCACCTTCTTTGGCTTCCTTGAGAGCTTGCTCCAAGGCCTTGACTCTTTCCATAGTGGCCCTCAATCTCTTCTCAAGTTTTGGAAGTTCACATCGAAGATCAGCATTGTCTCTGACAAGCTGGTGAAGTTTAAAAATTTGTAATGTTAGTGTAGATAGTGTGTAAACAGTGTCACCAAAATAATATAATTGAAATAAATACTTGTTTGTGAACTTTAGTAAGCTGGTCGAGATTATTTTCAAGGAAAGAGATCTTTTGCTTCTGTGCCTGGCTGCTGAGACTCTCGTCTTCATCATCCTCCGATTTCAACTGGGACTGAAGAAGATGATAATGTTTAAAATATTGAATTAATAAATTGTTAAGGCGGTATATATAAGTGCAATCACAACACCCATCACTGCCACAACCGGTGTTACAACTATTCTCATGACAACTACCACTGATACCTTCTTCACTCTATTCTGAAGGTCTTGCACGAAGAGCTTTCTGAGATTATGCAGGGTTTGAAGTTCCTTCACGACGGTTTCCTCGAGACCCTTGAGGTCCTGTTTAGCCTGTTCACGTCTGTCCATCTGCAACGACAATTCATTAAGCTTCGTTGTTTTCTCTACTTCCTCTTGTTTCAAACGATCATAATCAGAGCTGAGTTTGTCCTTAGCAAGTTCCAAACGTTTGCAGGTTCTGGAAAGTAAATATTTACTCATTAGAACAAACAGTAAAAATCAGATTCAATTTGAAATTTAGCAAATATCAAAAATAGGAAGCTGATTTTAAGCTTTTCCTTATATGAATAAACAAAGCCAACAAAAAACAAGACTAACTCGGTAAGTTGATCAATTTTTGATTGCTTATCAGCAATCTCATGCCTCAATTCATTCAACTGTTTCTGGTGTTGTTCTCTGTGTGATTCCATCTGCTTCTCAAGAGCATCCTTCATCTGATTGGTCGCTTGAATTTCGTCTTTGACCTTCTCTCGTTCTTCCATTTGAGCCATAAACAGTTGTTCTTGTGGTGAAATATGAAAACGAATGTAGTACAAGACAAAAAAATTACAAATTCACCATCAGTAACACAAAACTTGAGTTTAGAGCATCAAAAATTGTGTAATAGATACCTTGTGCTTTTAATTTGGCACATTCTTCTGTCAACTGGTCAACTTGTTCTTGAAGTGACGACTTTTTCTGTTCAACTTCTTTCAATGAATCACTCACCATGTTCATCTTGGCCTCATGCTAAAAATGGTGTCAACATACAATAAATATACATTGTAATAAAAAAAAGAAAAATGCATAAAAAAAAGAAAAAGATTTATGAAAGAACAATATTTAAAAAAGTGATCAAGATCTGGCAAACCTGTTGCACCAGCAGCTTGCATGAAGACAGCTGGCCTTCAACTTCCTCCAACTTCTTGTTGTTATCTGCTTGCATACCTTCCAAACTTGTGCAGTGTGCCATTAAGGTCTTGGCTTCGGATTTCATCTTGCTGATGTAGAGACGTGCCATTGTAAAGTCTTCCTCTATCTTTTCAACTGCAGCTCCAGGTTGTTGAGATTTCAAAAGATCCAGCTATTAAAATTGTAAAATTAGCTATTGAATGTTTGAGCAATTTTGTTAAGTAAAGCATGTTTAAGGGATGCAAAAAAAAGTGATATAATCAATATCATTGAAGAGATTAAACAAATTTCTGTGTTGAGTGTGTTGAAGAATAGTTAAGATTATATGGAAAACCTTTATATGCACAAGAACACTACATATATCATGACTATTTTCAGAAGAAAATGGTGTTACCAGTTTTATGTTTACTCATATTCTTTATCCTATAATTTTGACATCTTGTTAACCAGAAATAAATAAAATACTTATGGCATATTTTATTGAAATGTATGAGCAAAAATTAGATCAAAATTAAAAGAAGCCTGACTTTGAACTCGCTTCCGATGGCAGATCCAATGTCTGAAAGATCCTTCATGAGATTCATCATCATGTCAAGGACGCGTTTGCGTTGATGGCTGTTGCTCTCTTTCAACTGATGCAGCTCTGATTCAAGAGTCTGAAGAGTCGACTGTGTAATTTGTCAAATATTTGAAGGTTCAGTAACGAACAGATGATCAATATTTGCCAATAGTATCATGATTATTATTATTACAGTTCATCAATAATAACTTCAAACATATGATTCAACGACAAAAATTCAAACTAGACTAACATAAACATCATCAACATAAATAATTAATAACATAACATAGATCATAGAGCAAAACCCAGCCCAACACACCACTCGTTTCTGAAGTTCCTCATTCAACGAGTCATTCTCCTTATTTCTTGTTTCAACTTCCTGTGACTTCTGGTCATAATTGACTGCCAACTCTTCTAGGGCCTGAAGAACTTCCTTCACTTCATCTTTGGATGATTCGTTTTCAGTTTGCATGCGTTGCACATCAACTTGCAGACTGTCCCGTTCACGACGGATGCCCATTATTACTTCTTCCTGCTCCTGATTCTGTTCCTTCAATTTCTCAATCAGCTGAGCTTGATTGTTTATCTCATCATCCTGTGTGAAAATAAACGTCTTAATAAATTAAAAGCAACTAAAGTGTTAACTTAAAGTGGTGATTTAACAAGTGAACATCATATTTTAGCATATTAAACTTTTCAAACATTAAAATAAATGGAAGCATCGTCAACAGAGATGAAACAATCTATCACCTTGTCATCTAGCTGCTCATAGAGTTTCATTTTCTCCTCTTCCCATACAAGCTTCTCGGCAGCTGTAGCTCCAACAGCTGCTGAGGCAGTAGCAGCAGCAGCAGCAGGCTTGTCGATGTTTGGAAGATTGTGAGTGGAGCTAGAAGCACTAAGATTATCCTGGATCTTCACCTGACTGGCTCTCTCACTTTCTGGAACTGATTCACCTGAACAACAAAGATGACCATGCTGACATGGAATATGCCCGGTGCATGGCAAACAATAAAAATAATGAACATTGCTCCAGTGTTTACTATTATAATATGGAGACCAGTTAGTTTTGAAGATAGATGTATTTAATAAATCATTACTAAAAAGTTTAGATTATCGCTGTCAAATGAACCAAAAGAAAAAATTCTGACCTGCCCTCCATTTGGCAAGCTCATTCTCCAACATTTCGATGACTCCAGTGAGTCGTGCATTCTTCTCCTTCTCCTTTTCATACCTCCTCTTCCACTCCTCTGCTGTCAGCTCTTCATTCACCATCACTGAGTTCTTGATCGTCTTGGCCCTGGACATAAATTAAGTTATAATAACAATAATATGTTAAAAACAATAATAACAAAATATAGCAAATGTTTTTTGAAAAAACAATTAATCGGATAGATCAGGAAGATAAAAATAAAAACAATATAAAAAATATAAAAAGTCAGACCTCTGTCCAAACATAAGAGTAGATTTAGTTTCAGGTTCATTGAATGAAGCAGGAGAGCAGCAGATGACCATGGTAGTGCGAGCATTTCCACCCAAACTTTCCTGCAAGATCCTGGTCAGTTTACTGTCTCTGTATGGTACATAGTTCTGTTTGGGATAAACATTTCATCATTTGTTAATATCATCTGAGGATGTAATTACTTTTGTTAATGTTACAAATAAATGAGCATTAATCCATCAGCACCAGCAGCACCAGAATTCACCATCATAGCACCAACAACTAACACTTCCATCAGCCAGAGCAGCAATGACATTTCCAAGAGCAGACAAACTCTTGTTGATGTTTTTTGCCTCATCCAGCACAGCTCCTTCAGCACCAGTTTTACTAACCTGTAAATTTTTTACAAATATAGACAATATAAAGATGATTTGATTTAATGTATAATTAAAGCAAATTTTGGTACTTTTGTAAGCAATAAAGACAACTTAAGACATTTTCAAAGTGCTCAAAAATGAATTGTATTAAAAATTGTAAAACTATGCACACATGTATTATGAAGAGATATATACAAACTTTTTCACTACCAGCCAGATCAACAAGATACAACTTGCCACTCAGTTTCTTCTGGGTCTCAATGTTCTCTTGCTTAACATTTATTAAAAATACACTGTGACTTCGAGAGGAGTGTTCATTCATGTCTGTTAGTGACAAAGGTAATATACAATGTTGACTAATGACAGTGATAATGATGATGATGGATATAAATGAACATACTGGTTACAGCAACATGTCGGTTGGCCTTGCCCTCATCAATCACTTCCATGACTTCCTCAGGACTCGATACAAATCTCTCTGTAGCTCCCTGTCAATACATGCACAAAAAAATTAAAATAAAGAATTGAAAACAGAAACAAACTAAAAAAATCAAGAAAGGAAAATCATGATTAAACCAGGAAGAATTACCTTAACATAAGGAACTCTGTTCTTGTCCTCATGCACGGATAAATTTGTCTTGGTTACTTTAGTTAAATGAAAAATCAAATGAAACCAACAAGTTTTATAAATTAACTTTGCAAACCAATAAATAATAATATATATATAATAAAATATGGGTAGTTACCGTCAAGAAGATCTCTAATTTTGTCCATATATATTTCAAAATATGAAACCTGTGGGGTGTTTATTGAATTAATTTTTTTAATCTACTAATAAACAAAATAAAAACAAAATAAAAAGATTTTTTAAATACAAATTGATAAAAAAAATCAAAAAATTGTAATTAAATGAACTTCTATGAATATAAACCAACACAAAAAACTTTAAATTAAAAATCTTTAATAAATTATGCTTCCATACTTTAATATGGAATTCTAGATTTTCATCCATCTGATAAATGTAGCTGAAGATATCACCAACAATACGTGGTATGATTCCCTGTAGAGTAGCATTACCCAGAACACCCTAATGGTAAAAGTTTAATAGGGTGATAAATTTGTAATTTTTAATGCCATGATTATAATTATAAAATATAATAATTCTTATTAAGATCATAATTATTTCAGATTAATTTTACCTCCATTGTGTGTGTTTTACCACTAGATGTTTGTCCATAGGCAAATATAGTTCCATTGTACCCAGATAAGACATCTGCAATGTAATGTGTCATATTTAAGTTTAAAAATTAGTAATCAAGGTTGGTTAGTCTCAAGAAGATATTTTATTAATTGATAAAAAATAATGTGTCAAATTATTAATATATGCAATAAACTTGTAAAATTTATCTATAAACTATAAAATATAACCAATAAATAAATGAATTAAATTATTAAACATTGAATTTAGTAACCTTTGACAATGGGTTTCGCTGTTGTTTGGTAAACTTGATCTTGAGTTACGTTTGATTTGAAAACTTTGTCGAAAGCATAAACCTTTCCCTGTTACAGCATAAAAAAGAAAATTATATATTTTTACTTCGCACATATAACAAGAACATAATGAAATATATGACAACACAATGAAAATGCAAGATAATCTAGATTAAGATCCTAGAATCTAGCAGGTCGCACAACGTTAAAAAATGCGATAGCGCGCGCTCAACATCGCCGCGTTTTCCTGAAAGCGATTTAACATTACTATTGCAAACTCGCGTTTTTGTCGTTGTTATTTTTGTTTATTTTTCAAAAATGCGCCCATCTATATAATTTTCGGATGTTATGAGCGATAAAAGAAATATGTATTATTATAAAAATATTTTTTCTTTGTTATTGTGAGTCATATTTGCGGCAGACTATTCGCTACGAGGTTGGTGTATTTTATATTTTTTTAAAAACTTAGTAAAACATGAGTAAAAACGACAATTTTAAAAGAAATATGATAATTAACCATTTATTAACATTATGTAAAAATATTTTTGAAATTAGAGTATAAGCAGAATTTTTTTTTGATTTTTTTCCGTATGCACCATGCGGTCACGAAAATGCATTGTATTGGTTGTGTTTTTTTTATCAGAATGTTCATAACTGCTAAGTTTCATGGATAAAAACAATAATTTTAAAGAAATATGATTATTAACCATTTATTAACATTCTGTAAAAATATTTTTGTAATTAGAGTATAAGCAGAATTTTTTTTATATTTTTTTCCGTGCGCACCATGCGGTCACGAAAATCAAAATGCGTTGTGTTGTATTGGTAGTTTTTTCATCAATCGTAGCTGCTAACTTTCACAAGTAATGACAACAATTTTAAAAAAATGCAATAAATAACCACTTATTAACATTCTGTAAAAATATTTTTAAAATTAAACGCAAGAAATTATTTTTTAATTTTTTTTCTAGGACTCAACAAGTCCACACGTATCGATGGAATTCTTCACCTGATGAAAAATCATCTTATGATAAATTTTGCTAATTTTATAATTGTGTGATTGTGCGTGCGTGCTTGTGTGTAATATGATTATTATTATTAAGTTTTATAATCATATAATGAAATATAATAATTATGATAATAATATAATAATCAATATAACATAATAATATAATAATCATATAATAATAATATATAATTATAAATGAATTATATTTCAATATAAATTATAATATATTATATAATATAAAATTATAAATACCATTGCAATATGATTATGATTATTAAATTTTAATTTATATATAATATATATAAATTATAGATATATATAATTATTTTATAATTATAATTAATCATTTATAATTAAATTTTATTATAAATATAAATTATTCATAATTATTATTTTCTTATTTTACAGCTGTTATAAAAACAAGAAAAAATTGTTTTGTGTTCAATTTTAAATCATTCTTTTCCCGTTTTGTGCGCGAATATAACGCTCCATGCTCACTTAACATTGAGCATCACTCTTAACATGGTGCAAGTTGAAAGTAAAAATAATTCTTTCAAAATTCGTTTTCTCGGTAACTATAAATGCTACAATAATAAATTTGGTATTATTTTAATCAGCAAATTTTGCTTTATAAGAAAAAGTAGTTTATATACAAAAAAAAATTTTTTTGAAAAATCGTGCGACCTGCTAAACTAAACTAAATACTATGACTATATAAATTAAAAATTCAACACTTTCACTGAATAAAATCAGGAAATTAAATTGATGCCACAAAAATTGATGGTCTTCACTAAGTTCATTATTTGAAAAATGCTAAATTTAATGAAATAAAAAAACTAGAAACAGAGAACAAAAAATTTTATTTTAGCTAATTTTCAGATTACAGTCAGAAATTACTAAAACTTTAATTTTACTAATTAACTAACCGCCAAATTGATGGAATCATCAGTGGGGAATTTAAGTACGAATTTACTGCCAGCTTTTTCCTCGGAATCATTTAAAGGTCTAACTCTGCAGATAACTTTAATGTTACACTCGTCTGCCGCCATTTTGCAAAATGGAAGCTATGATAATAATGATGTTGACGGGGATGAAGATGATGATGAGTCAGATGATATTCAGCTGTGTTGTTTGTTTGTTTGTTGCAGATGCAAATTTTGATCGAAGTTACTCTTTTCAGCATCTAACTTCCATATTTGGGATAAATTTTATAATTTAGAATCATAAACTAAAACAACTGGAAAACCATGAAAAACGACTAATTTTTGTATTTTTATGCGTAACGCGAATACCTAAAACTAAAAGCCTATGAATAAAGGCCAATATTAAATTTTATATATATATATATATATATATATATATATATATATATATATATATATATATATATATATGTACGTATGTATACAGTGAAATTTTCAACAAAAGTTTTATTATGAAAAACACTCAGCAAATCAAATAAACTAAAGTTATATGACATAAATTAAACTATTTCTTTTTTATAAATCACATATTATTTTATTTCCAATCATTTGCATACATTTGCATTGCAACCAGAAACTGAATATGGATGAGACTATGGCTGCCACCTTGGCTACAGACGGAGCGGTGTTGTACATTCATGATGTTATTTTCATATTTAAATTATCATATATATGTAACTATATTTATTTAGCTATGGTGTATAAGGAAATATATATATATTCATACAAATAAATATATGTGTGTATAGATGCATATACACCTACTCACACAAACATACATTCATACATATAACGACGTACAATTATAATTTTGCTGCTGTTGCTTCAGTTTGAGAATGGATGTCCTGCGGTATTTTGTGATCTTCTGCACATCAAAAAATGTAATTGTGTAAAGTTAATTTATCTATTTAGATCTATATACGTTGGCCATGTGTGAAAAGTGACCAGTGATAAGTTATTGGTAATTGTTTTAAAAGTTTATGAGGTTATGATAATGTAATAAAATTCAACCTTGTTTAAATGATGTAAGGGTTGAATGAACTTGAATAAAATTGGAAGCTTCTCTTTCACTCACTAGAGGTACTAGAGTACCTACTGTTTCAAGTTTTTAATGTACAATTCACTTGCGTCTGATTTTAATTGAGGGCTGTAAATTTTTTTAAATTTTATTCTAAGAAAAATGTACATGCAATTGATACATATTTTTTTCTTTTTTATATCTATTAAAGGAGTTTGACCACCAATATTTCCCAAAATCAGAGAGCAAAGAATTTTGAACTATATATTAATTTTTCAAATTTATAATGACTGGTATGGTATATGGATCACATTTTAATTTTAAAAAGTCATATTAAATGTTAAATAAGAGATAAGTGTCAAAATATCTTATCAGCTGATATCGAAGATAAAGTTAGTCCAAGAGGGAATATGGCAAAAATGAAGCTTCTTGAGAATTTACGTTCAAATCTGTAATCAAAGTTTATATTTTCACGGCTGAAATTAATTTTTGCAAAATTCATTGAGGAGCCCTGTTGAACATCGCGGAAATAGCGCTTTACAAGCTAATGGGTTGATTTTTGCTCTAATGGACAACGTTGGAACACACACACACAAACACACATTTAAACTAGCAAATACAATAGTTTCAGTTTGCGAGATTAAATATTTACATACGACGAAGAAATTTTCGATTGCACATTTATTTACAATTTTTTTAAAGGATAAATAAAATTTTGCATTTTATCTTCTTCAGATTGAAGAATGTTAATAAATTTGATATGTGATATCTTAAGTGATGTAGAGTAAATACTTCAACCACCACACTTCCCTTGTCCAAATCGTTTCTTAAGCATGCACACCTAACAACATACTTCGGATTTCTATATATCAATTCCTAGAAAGAATCGAGTGAGAATAACATTCTCAACTTGTTACACGTTCAATATGTTACGCAAAAACAGCACGCAGCTAGGCTTTTAGTTTCACAGCTTATTTCAACACAGATAATAACACGCTGCTAGTAAGTCATTGATCTCTTCTAGTCTCCGAACTTGAGACAAACTTTAAAACTAAAATACTAATATTCATAATATTTTCATTTAAAAAAATTTGTTGACAATATATAATTTCCTAATCAATGAGTTAAATTTAAATTCTTTAAATCTTTAAATTTGTTACAACCTTTCAAGTTCACTTTGCATACGTGTTTATACCATCTGAATACAAAAAAAGCTCCGATGAAAACATGGAAAAATATTAATAATAACTGAATGTCATAAAATTGGTTCAATTAATTAAAAAACCAAACAAGCGCTTGTTATAAACCTAATATGCATCAAGCTGGGTTAATTATAATCGTCGACTAGCTGTCATGTTGCAGTAGACAAATTAAAAGCAACATGCTTAATAATCACTTGCCCAATGAATAGAAATTGGCTAACAGAACCGAAGGAAAAACAAATTTTTGAAAAAAATGGTATATGTTAAAGTTTGGTTTGAAGTGTAGCTTACATTTATCCATAGATTACATTATAATAATTTTGTGACGTCAACCCGCTGACGTTGTTTTCAGTAAATTCTATAAAGTTCCAAATCGTCACCTTGTCTCTTCTTGCAATTTCAAAAAATTGAAAAATTTTGCCCATTCTTTCTAAATTCCACCAATCAAGAATTTTGACGAACAAATTCTAGACATTTATAGGTCTCGTGGCCGAGTAGTTAGCATGTCCGTTTACTACTCCCACGACCCGGATTCGAATCCGCAGGTTTTGCAGGTTCATCCGAGTAGCCGACCCCCGGCCAACCCAGCCGTTCTTACTCACGAGGTTGGTAAATGGGGAGACGACGTAAGTTGTCGCATATTGGCCGGCG